GTTTTTCTTTCCTAACATAGATGCTTCCTTCCTCTCAAACTACCTGTCTTCTTTGTCCAAAATGTGAACATTCTGGTCCTCCAAAGAATGTCCTTTGTCCATCAGGTGTAGATGTAGTGCAGAGTCTTGTCCAGAGGAGGGCGCTCTTCTGTGTTGGGCCATGCGTCTGTGGAGAGGTTGTTTGGTTTCTCCAGTATAAAGATGATATATATATTATCTTTAGGATGCCATCCTAAAGATAAAACCTCCAGACCTAATCTGAGCAGAGTGTCTGCAGGTCAATGCAGGGAGGAATGATCTGATCTTTATATTGGAGAAACCAAACAACCTCTCCACAGACGCATGGCCCAACACAGGAGAGCGCCCTCCTCTGGACAAGACTCTGCACTACATCTACACCACATGATGTGAATTGGAGCTATAGAAATACACTGAATTGATTAATGTTGCTGATGATTTTGAGCACTTTATAAAAGAGGCATTAAAATGTAAATTTTTTTTTACTATTTTTCAAGGCTGAACTTTTAAAAAAGAAATTGTCCAGAGAGCTGTTTCCAAACAAAATTTCTTTTTGTTTTACACTTGTGTAAACAAAATCTGTCGAAGTCTAAGATACCCAATTAAAATTAAAATGTCTGTAATTATAAATATTAATGCATTTTGAACTGTTCTCAACAACAGGAAAGCATTAAATAGAAATATGGCTTTGCCATTTATGCTGCCGCTAATTTCAGCAAAATATCAAAAGCTAACTGAAGCCTTTAGGTTCCTGCAGCAGCGACTTTAATCCCAAAGTTAAACCTTTGATCTAAATGATTTATTGATTGAGAACAGGTGGAATAATCAAGCTGACTAGATGAAGGGAATTTAGATTTGGATTTTCTTCATAAAAAAACTACATTTTTTGTTTTGTTTGAGCAATTTTAACGTAATTTTTTCAGTCTCAAAAAAACTTAACCAGTCATGTTTTTTAAATGTTAAAGTTTCTGTCAGCATTCAGAATATGAGATGAACGGTTCATTGATAAAAGCAAAACGCTCCATTTCTAAAGCTTTATTGTAAACTAGTCTCTGTAGAACAGTTCAGACTTATTCTCACAGTGATCAGGTATAATATGGAGCCGTCCATTTCTATCATTAAACAGTAGCTCCACCCCCCCAGTGTGCAAACATCTGCTTCAGTAAACATCTGTCTGTAGAACATCTGTCTCCTTACATAGAAAAGTCCAAAGATTGAAGAGAAAACAGAAGAAACCCTAAAGCTGCAGGCCAGACGGGAGAAAGTTCCTCCACTCAGTGAAGCAGTTTCAGTGTTTGTCATCAGAGCCACCAGAAGCGCACATAGATGATGAAGGTGATGAAGACGAGCGCAGCAGCAGCCACTTTAGCGTAGGCGGAGCGGGTGTTCAGGAACTTGGCGTCGCTGCGGTATTTCTTGGCCAGACTGGAGAGATTGCTGGCTTTGGTGTCTAGAGCTGTTGGAGAAAGAACATCCGGGGTTAAGATGGAGAACCGCTGTAGAAACGCAGGAATAGATTAAAAACGGGTTCTAGACCAGATAGAGCTTCTCCTCGCTGCAGGACGTCCTCCATGTTAGCCACCATGATTCTCTGGACGTCCTGCAGCTCTGCGTTGATGCTGCTCAGGTTCCGCCGGGCTCTGCTGTCAACGTACGACTTCTTCGTTTTCTGGATGTATGTGTCTAGATTAGGAATACAAGATATAGATTAATGATTGCTGATTGCATCGACTCATTGACTCTTAAGCAATCCCTCACACTAAGCATGCTTGTAGCGACAGTGGAGAGGAAAAACTCCCTTTGAACAGGAAGAAACCTTCGAACATTTAATAGATATTTTGACATTTTCTTAAAAATCCCAGATCATAAAATGATATTTGTTGACAAAATGCCGAGTTGAAAAACAAAAGTAGTACATTATAATAGTTTATTGTTCCAGCTGTATTAAATACTGAATAAATAAACCCCCAAAAAACGTTTTCTTGCACATTTATTAAATTTATTCATAAAATATAACAAAACAGCCACTCTAACGTACTGACTATTTTACCACTTTGCTTCTATAAGCGGATGCTAAGGGTTATAGAGCACTCAGTTTTTATTGTAATCCAGCAATAATTTCTGAGAAAGATGATTTCTGGCGCATCTATAAGTGAAGCAGAATGATGAAAAGTGATCCCTAGGCCCTCCAGCAGTCTAAGTCTATAGCAGCATATCTATGGATGCCTCTGCTCTGATCTACGGTAGTTTTCTTGGAGAATACAAGTGAGACTCTGCGAAATAATAACAGTGGCACAGTCAAATACTTGACATGTTGAGCTTAAAAACATTTTAGTGACCATTAGTGACAAAAAATATTTATTTTTTTATTTTTTTGACACAATTTAAGACCCCCTTTTAATTTTGCTTTTGAGGCTTTCAGGGGGTCTCATGGGTTAATCGGGGGGCGTCTAGCCCCCCCAGACCCCCCCATATTTTTCACTCTGGACACAACGCGCTATTATCCAAGTCATCTTGAAAACATTCTTCTTCCAAATGTTGGCTACATATTACAGGTTTTTTCTCTGGCCAGAAGTTCGATGGCAAATCCTCCCTCTTCAAGTTGGCGATCCAACGACCAACCCGTCCGTGGAGGATCAGGAATCGGAAAGGTTTGCATTCATATACTATCCTGGGTTTATTTATGTTTGCATTTTTATAGATCATTTAGTATAACATCTTGGTTTAAATCAGGTTATAACTTTTTTAGGTTTTGTTTGATTATTTAATTTTTGT